TTTTTTATTTGCTATAGGGTGTATGCACTCACCAGAAAGACAGAGATAAATAGAAAGACAATAAGTGAGAAATCACCCCCAGGGGGGATGGCCATGTCATAATCCCTTCTACTCCATTCTCCTCTTGGGATCTTGGGCACACATGCACACGCACCCGGCGTGAGTTTAAGCCACCAAGGTCAGGACTCGAACATCAGTTGACCACATGGGAGGCCAGCGACATACCCATTATGCTAAAAGCTGGTCCCAAAATATTTTAAACATTTTCAATCATGCTCAAATACACCTGTGCAATTAAGAACAAAGAATTAACAAATATCAGAAAATCACACATAAATTATATTGCAGGAAGAAAAAGAAACACAGTTTAAAGTTTGAAGACTCAACATTCTAATCAATTTCACACTTAGGCACCTCAAAATTTGTTGTCACACAGAATATAAAATCAGACAATTGTCGAAATAAAATGTGGGGGAACCAGTAGTTAGTGTAATGACTATGTCGCTGGACTCCCACATAGTCAACCGCGGTTCGCATCCTGGACCCGGTGGCTTAAAACTCACGCTGGGCACGTGTGCATGCGTGCCCAAGATCCCGAGAGGAGAATGGAGGAGAAGGGATTGAGGCATGACCCCCCCCGGGGGGTGATTTCTCGCTTTCTGTCTCGATGTCTCTCTCTGTCTGTCTGGTGAGTGCACGCACGCACCCTATAGCGAAAACCTCTCCAAAAAAAAAAAAAATGTGGTACTGGCAATTGTAAAATATGGAAAATTATAAGAAATAATGCTTCCATTTTTCCAATATATAAGGAATAAATATGGTTTGAATTATTACATAAGTTTTATTCAATTTCAGGCATTCTAACAGTAGAAATTATTTTGATTTTTATTTCTACTAAAAATTAATATTTGGGAACCAGCAGTTAGTGTAATGGCTATGTCACTGGACTCCCATGTAGTTGACCACGGTTCGCATCCCAGACCCGGTGGCTTAAAACTCACGCCAGGTGCGTGTGCATGCGTGTCCAAGATCCCAAGAGGAGAATGGAGGAGAAGGGATTGCGGTGTGACCATCCCCC